TTTTCATTTGAATTGAAATTAAACGAACCAAAACCAACAGAAAAAGACACGAAACGCTCACTCTTGTCAGATATCTCAAAGATATTTGACCCGCTTGGATGGCTATCTCCAATTACCATCAAGCTAAAACTTTTGTTTAAACGGGTATGGTTATCTAACATACAATGGGATGAACAGCTTCCAGATGAAATCATTATCGAATGGAAGAAAATCAGATCAGAACTACACGACATAGACCAGTTCAGAATTCAAAGATGGTATCATATTGGAGAACACGACACTATTCAATTACACGGCTTTTGTGATGCATCAATCAAAGCTTACGCATGTGTCGTGTATTGCAAAATTAGAAATAACATCACAGTTGTTGCAGCAAAAACAAGACTTGTGCCTGACAACAAAAAGCTTACTTTGCCTCGACTGGAACTGAGTGGAGCGCAATTACTCGCAACGCTTATAAACAAAATCCAACAAGCTCTCCCTGAACGAGAAATCAGAATTTTTGGTTGGTCAGACTCTACTGCAGTTCTTGGATGGATTCAAGGAGGCATTAATCGATGGACACCATTTGTGGCAAACAGAGTGAAACAAATCACAAAAACAATAACTTCAGACAAATGGTACTACGTAAAATCAGCAGATAACCCAGCTGACTGTGCAAGCCGTGGCATCACAGTAGAAGGTCTTAAACAACACCAACTGTGGTGGAGCGGTCCTCAATTTCTTCATGAACTTGACGAATCATCAATAAAATCCAATCAAGTATACTTTACGAATGAAGAAGAAAAGAAAACAAAACAAACCAACGTCACGACTTTGAATGCACCTCATTGCGATGACATCATACAAAGCATACTACGTAAACACAGCAATATGATGCGCGCCACGCGAGTACTAGCATGGGTGTTACGTATCAGTCGACAACACAGCGCACGGACGGCATATTTAAATGCTGAGGAATTGAAAGTAGCAAAACATATGATTATAAAAAACACTCAAGAAATGGAGTTTGCAGATGAAATTACTAATTTAAAAATGGGAGAACAAATACATAAGAATAGCAAAATACTGAATCTTAACCCATTTTTAGATAAACATAACCTTTTAAGAGTTGGTGGCAGACTCAAACATGCAAATATTTCCGAAGACATGAAACATCCTTGCATCATACCACATAACAGCCGTGTTACGGATTTAATCATAGACCAAGCCCATAGCAACACGTTTCATGCAGGGCCTCGGATAACATTAGCGTACATCAGGCAGAGTTATTGGATACTAGGAGGAAACAGAGCTGTAAAAAAGCGCTTACATACGTGCATTACTTGCAAAAAGCAGAAAGCAACTAAACAAAAGCAAATGATGGGTGACTTACCTGAACCTCGATGTAATCCTTCTCGTCCTTTTCACCATACTGGGGTCGACTTCACGGGCTATGTTGACGTGAAACACAATAAAGGACGTACAAGCAAAACAAGTAAAGGATACATTGCAGTGTTCGTGTGCATGGTTACTAAAGCTGTGCATCTCGAACTTGTATCAGATTTAAGCTCAACATCATTCTTAGCTGCTTTGAAGCGTATGTCTGCACGTCGAGGCAAGCCACGCCACATCTACAGTGACAATGGTACCAACTTTGTTGGTGCCAACAAAGCATTACAACAGGAACTAGCAGAACTACGTAGAACTTTCAATGATGAGCTCTATTCTGAAATTAGTAATATGGATATTCAATGGCACTTTAATGCTCCATCGTGGCCGAGCGCTGGGGGTTTATGGGAAGCAGCTGTAAAAAGTCTGAAACATCATCTTCGACGCGTTGTAGGAGAGCAGAAACTCACGTTCGAGGAATACAGTACCTTGCTTGCCCAGCTCGAAGCATGTCTCAACAGTCGCCCGCTATGCGCAGTTACGGAGGATCCAGACGACTTAAACTACTTGACACCTTCTCATTTCTTAAGCAGTGGTCCTATATTAACGGTATTGGATACAGAAGATGATGACAGGACAAGATGGAAGAGGACGCAAAACATTTTTAAAGATATTTGGAGTAGATGGCAAGCTGAATATCTAGCTCAACTCTCTGCGAGAAGCAAGTGGCTTGTACCTCATGAAAATGTCAAGGTTGGCGATGTTGTCATAATTCATGAACCTAACCTGCCAGCAGGAAGATGGCTTCTAGGAAGAGTAATAGAAACGCATCCTGGTTGTGACGGTTTAACTAGAGTCGTCACACTAAAAACCAAAAATGGTAACATAAAACGCCCTGTGATTAAAGTATCTGTGCTTGTATCAGAATCAAAGACCACACACTTACCCGCTCATTCAGATAAAAGGACTGACAAGCAAGACTTCGAATCGAAGAAATCTCGATCAAACCGACCTGGATTAAGATCGCATTTGATAACAACGATATCCGCTTTGTTTTTCTTCATTACGACAGCATTCAGTCAGGACCAATCAATATTACCGTATACTTTGACAAAAATAAACACAGCACTTTATTTTGATAAAATATCGAATATGCAGTTCATACGAGATGAATGGAAACTCATCGTGTACTACGATATGAATCCGTACTGGGAAGGGTCAACAACGTTCAATAAATACCTGGAACAAATAAACAACGTATGCAAAAGAAGATCCAACAACGCAATTTGTGACATCATCCTTCTCCAACTAAATCATTCATATGACGAACTACAATACTATGACGCCATGTTACTCAGTCAGCATTTTAAAGAAAGCATGCGCAAGCGACGGGGCCTCATTGACGGTGTAGGCTACGTAGCTAATAGCTTATTCGGCGTGTTAGATCAACGATTTGCGGATAAATATGAAAAGGACATTTCTCTTATTAAGGAAAACGAAAAAAACCTGGCTCGTTTATGGAAAAACCAGACAACAGTAGTGGAAGCAGAGTACAATTTACTAAAAAGAACAGAATCTGCGATTAATCGCCAACACAAAGTTATTCACCAGCACCTGAACAATCTCACAAAAGCCACAAATACGTTAAGTAAAAACTTACAAGAACAAGAGGTCCTGAATGAGTTAGCTCTATCAACCATAATAGCAACAAACATGCTCTCAAAACTAAAGTCAATACAAGACATTTTGATTGACTCCATAACAGACATTCACCATGGCATGCTCAATGCACATGTACTCTCGCCAGGACAACTGCGTGACCAACTTAGCATTATCTCGGGACAGTTATCAAGAGAACTTTCTTTGCCAATAGAAAACGCACAAACTGAACTGTCGAAAGTTTTTCCTCTCCTGAGAGTCAAGGCCAGAATGACAAAGCAGTATCTTATATTTGAAATCAGAATACCACTGGTCAATAGAGAAAGATACGATCTGTATCAATTAATTCCAATCCCAGGACAACAAGACAACATAACAATTACCGTCATTCCTGTCTCAGATTACATTGCCATTGACTTACGTAAGGATACATACCTAACTATGACGAAGCAAGATATACAACAATGTATTCAGAATGGAGAATACAATCGTCTTTGCCAATCCCGAAAACCTGTCTTTCAATTTAAATCCGAAGACAGCTTATGTGTCAAAAACAAGTACACAGATAGGTGTCTTACAGACGTTGCAGCATGCCGCAACAATTGGATTGAATTAAACAAAATAAACACATACCTGTTTCACTGTTGCGGCCAGTGTACTATTCGTATCATATGTGAGCGTCAAATTACGGCAACACAAATAACAAAGGCCGGCGTTATAGCATTGAATTCCGATTGTGTAATCAAAGGTCAAGATTTTACTGTCTTTTCACATAAGATGCAGTATTCGGAAATGAATACTGCTGCTGAATCATTGCCTGAGGTAATCGCGCCGATCAACGAAATCATCAACGTTTCGGTGCCACAAGTCAATCTTACCTATATTGATGAGCAAGATTCACTACAACACATCAAGGAACAGATAGATCAAATGAAGTCCGAAAAGGCACTCCTCCCTGACATGTCCACCCATGATATTCATCAATACACCATCATCTACATTCTATTGTTGGGCGCAGTAATTTCAGCGCTAGCCTTCACATTTCGATGGTATTGTCGTCGTGGGAAGGGCAGCACCAACTTACAGTCGGACTTCGAACGACCGCAGCCGGTGCCGATAGCAGCTATGCACCAACAGGATAACGCCTCCTGCACGCCAGCGACACGACCAAGACGGGAGCCACCACTACCACACAATCAAGAATCCGTAGAACTATCAAACTTCTCTAGAATACTAAGTAGTATGAAGCGTCATAAGAACACGCCTCCTATTTTCACTAAATCTAAAGCTAGTGATAGTGATTAAGTATCAATTGTAAGCATAGATTTAAGTTATGAATTATAATTGGGTGAAATTTTATAAGTTTAGCATAAGAAATTTGTTAATCATTCATCTCATCTCTCTCGTCCGGGAATATGTACGAGTCAGCGACTGTACATCATACGCACGCGCGATTCATGTCAGCAGTTCTTAGTTTATTCATTTCTTTATAATTATAGCAATCAATTTGTATTCAGTACATGTTCAACACTCAAATACATCAGTACTCATCAATCATTAGTTTAGTTGATAATATAGTCGACGAGTTAGTTAAGTGTATCAATAAATATCATCTCACCGGACTATCAAGCGACTTATTTCCACCTAGACTCCAAGTTGTGTGAGACTCACTCAATAACTCATACATTAGTTATATAGTACATACATTGTTAGGTAAATTTGCATTACTTAACCCTTAATTTTGACGCGCGCGCTCCGCACTCTCAACCATATCGCCAATGAAACCGACATATTCGTCTGTACTCTGAGTGAATTCACAAGGATAGCTTTGTTTGTTATATGTTATAAAACTGTAGTCAAGTAAGGATATGTAGATATTATTGTTTAGGCATATAAGCTAGGCTATTGCATTGGGTACAAAACCTGTAAAAATAGTCTAAGTTTTGGAAAATAAATAAATAAATACTTACCATTACTACTGGTTTCCTTCCACCCAACTCCTTTAAATCATGAGGCATAATAAGTTTTTGAGGTAATTGTTTAGATAACGGGAGACCCCGTTACAACCTATTTTCTACTTGTTTTGCAACTTGTTACTACCGTATGATGTTAAAAACAAAGTATACTATTGTAGAATAACAAAAATTAAAGAAAGAGTCGTTGTAGTTTCTTTAGATTCAATAAATTAAAACTAATAAACAATAATACGCAGAACTTGTACTTTTCGCAGAAAGCAGAATGTCACTTAATCAATCAATAGTGATGTGGCCGATCGGGTTTTAAATGTAGACATCTCGAAATCGCAGCGACTTATAAGTGCAAACACATTTTTTCATGATTATTTGTTAACTTGTTAAATATAAATATTTGATTTTACACTTTAACTAGGTTCTTAATAATTTCTTATTCATTATGATAATTATTCTAGAACATATTTGTTCCGCGTATCCTGCCTGTCCGTCAAAGTTACCAGTATAAAAAACCTCTTTATTTACTCTTTGCTTTTCTGTGCGTGCATTGCTTTTATTTTATTTAGTCTGTGGACGCCTGTCGTCGTTGATTGACGACTCCGAGAAATAAAAGCAAGCGGACGCATTTTAGTTATAGTATTTGTGTTGTATTTTAGTGAAAAATGGCGAAAAGGAAAAATAAACCATTAATAGACTCAGACTCCAGTAGCGAGTGCTCAGATTTGGACTCAGTAAGCTACTTTTATTTAAAAACCTAAGGTTATAAGTTCACGTCCGTACGTAACGATTTGACGGCATTCTTCATTAATTTGACTGCGTAAATAGGCCAAGATCAATGTTCCTTCGTTCTAAATTCATCTTTTGCGCATTATGTGAAAAACAAACGCATTTACCTGGTTTCAGCAGGCAAAAAAACTTGAAAAGGCTCCCTAACTCTTCTGAGAAAACGGATGTTGTTTACGTTACGCTAAAGCTTAATAAATGGCTTCTGTTGTGTGAGTCATAAATAAAAATGAATGAAAGCTAATGTTCCCGCCTATAAAATTCCTTCACTTAGCTGCAGATGTTATAAGATGACAGACTCTAGATAATGATGATATGAGACATTTAGCAAAGTTTGGTGTAATTTAAAGTTTTAAACTAGTCATGGTATTTTAACTAAGTTATTCAGGCGAGAAATGTTCGTGGTTATATAATTTTTAGCTTAGACTTTCTCTTTTCAGCTAAATCAACACATCTGGTCTGTTATATATTTAGGTTACTATTGCTCTGAAAATTTTATTGCAGCTTAATTATGTATTTATTATCTGTTTGCCTTATGCTCATGACCTACATAACATCTGGACTCCAATAATAATTGGATATAAAAATACAGATTATTGTGAACATGAACTGCCAAGCTCTCAAAAAGTAATGCTAGTGTTGCATGGTATTTTATGACATCAGCTACTAATTTGAGGTTACTTACTGATTATTGATTATAGCAAAGTATATGTTTTATGATATTTAAATTGATCCAAACTTATGCTGGTGTCTGAAGCTTTAATGTGCAGTGTTGTTCTTATATGTATTTGTTGGGACAACATAACTTTTATATCTCGCATTGTTGTTTAAACTCGAAATGTCAGTATAGTTGTTGCACTGACTATTATTCTACAAATGTACAGGCATTTAATTTACTTGAACTACTTGATTTAATTATTGTAATTGTGATAATTATGGCCTATTTGTGCATTCATTTATTGAGTTCTTCTCTAAAGAAGTAACTGAATGTAAATTTACACACAATTTACAACACATTTTGTTTTCTGTTCTGTCCAAATACTTGTTATTAAGTCTACTCATTAATTAGAAAGTTTCAAATCAAAACAATCAAATCAAAATAATTTATTCCAAAAATAGGTACTTTTGAAACATCAAAATAGAATAATAGTCTGTAAGTCTGTTTGTCAGTGAAGCTAGGTTTCACATTCAGTGTTAAAATATTTATTCTTGCTTTTATTTTGCTCAGTTTAAATATTTAAAATGAAGATGTTCCAACTTGACAATCTCTAAATGATATTATCATGCCTTCCACAGCTTGCAGGAATAGGCAGACATTACATGCATCTACTTTGTAATTGCAATATCTTTTAGTCACACATTGTGCGTACTAATGTAGGTAGCAGATACTGTTCTTAACACTATATGACATTACATTATGGTCTGATCATAGAGTCAAACCCAAAAATCCTTTGATAGTCAGTAAAAATGGGTAGGTGGATATAATCTAAGACTATTCATACCTATACTTACGTAAAATTAAAATGTAAATGTTTAATGCAGTGATTTATTAATATAATATTATGTTTTTAACTTTCAGCAATTCCTGAATTTGGCTAAGAAAAAGAAAAAGCCAGAAGACTCCCCTCCACAGTCCAAGTCAAAGAAGTCTGGCTCTGGATCTGACAGTGAATCAGACTGGGATGATGATGACAACAAAAAATCTAATTGTAAGTGTGATGTTATACTGGGGCATGCTGTGGTGTCTGAATAAATAAAAAAACTGAATTTGTTAGCCTCATTATAACAGAACATATTTTCATAGCATTACAAGCATAAATTCAATGTTAACTATTTTTGATTTTTAGCAAAATCCTCATCCTCCTCGGGGTCAGACTCGGAGAGTGATGCCAGAAGTGATACATCGAAGAAAAAAGAAGCACCTCGCAGTACTAGAAAAACATCCTCAGAGCACTCAGATGACAGCCAAAAGAGAGTGGAGCCTAAAAAAGCAGAGAACAGGAGGAGCACTGATAGCGCAGAGTCTGCTAAGAAGAAGGAGACTTACAGTGAGCCTGAAGAAGGTCAGTACTCAGTGCCATGTCTACTCATCATCATCAAAGATGAGAGATCGCATGAGGTTACCAGAGCCTAATCCTTCCCCTCTCCCAATCCCTAAATCTCTAAATGCGTAATGCCGAAAAGGTCGCCTTCACACTCGTAGCTCCTCTGTTGCGGGTGTCCATGGGTGGCGCTGATTTCTTACCATCAGGTAATCCGTCTGCTCGTTTGCCGACCCTTTACATCAAAAAAACATCGTTATCATCAGCCTGTAATATTCCCAACCACCCCACAGTACTTGGGACTCACAACTCTACCAGTACATTGTTCTAATGAATAATACTCAGTATATGTATTTAGCAAATGTATACTTAGCTAAATATATAAATATACTCCTTGATTCTTCTATTATTAAATTATAAGTAAACATACAACACAAGCTAAGTGCTACATAGCTAACCCGCGGCAGCCGATGATTTGCTTGACATTACTGATTATTGGAAGATATTGGACAGTTGAAGTGAGCGCATGTTTTTCGTGTTTCAGGTGAAGTATCATCACATTCGTCAGACAACGACTCCATTGATTCAGAAGAAGAATTCGATGACGGGTGAGTGTAGCGTACCGACGCGAGGAGTGAACTAGTTGCTGTACTGGATGTAAGGCTTGCTTGGTAGTAGCTGCAACTTGTTGTATTCCTCGCAGGTATGACGAGAACCTGATGGGGGACGAGGAGGACAGAGCGCGGCTCGCCGCTATGTCGGAGAAGGAGAGGGAACAGGAGATATTCAAGCGCATCGAGAGGAGAGATCTCATGAAAACCAGGTCGGTGACACCTTTCTACTCTATTTTAATAATTTTCTGGAAATGTCAATAATGATTATTTTCTATAAATAAGTTTTATTCTAACAGACCTCTAAGTTTTTCCGGCATTTCTTCTCAGAGTAGTCAGATAGGAAATGCCGGCGTCATCTTGTTTTTATGTTGACGTGTAACAGTACCGTTTTAAGGCCTATTTGCAAAAATAAATTCATTGTTTCATTACTAGATAAGAATTAGCAACTTGTAAAGTTGTATTGTTTTCGAGTGAAATAGTAAGCAAATTGTTCTTAAACTTTTTAGCTACAAATATTAAGACTAAGTATTTATTAATGAAAGTGTTTATTCATTATTTTTTAGAAAAGATGAAATAATTAATTGTTGCTTTGGCAACTTAAGCCATGCGCCAGTGCTAGTTGATAGTATCACTACACGTTAACTAGTGCGACATGCATCCTAGTCATACATTTTCTTAAAGCAAAAAATATTGTCTGACAGTTATTATGAACCAATGATAAGTAGTAGAAGCTATGAATAAAAAGATATGAATTTTGAAATTAACCTATGGAAACAGGTAAAGTTACAAGCAAAAATGTTACTAATGTACTAATGGTACTAAATTTATATGGTATATTTATCTTAACTTTGTTTTTTTACTCTGTACGTTATGTTCGCTATACACCCTATAACCAGCGGACAATTAAGGCATTTCTACTGATATGCAATTTGTCGAATTCTGATTAGTAGTTTAAAAGTTACGAGGGAATAGATGAACATACATACATACATACTCGCCTTTTGCTTTGCCGTAGTCGGGCAAAAATTATATTCCAATTGTATTTTATATCGTTACTGTCGAAAAGGCCCTCAACGTTTTGAGAATGAGTACGAGGCGGTTTATTGAGTATTGTGCAGTGAGTAGTAGATGCATGGTATTCATCGATCACTAATATGCTATATATAATATTGCTTTTAACGAATACATAAAAAAAATAGAAAATAATATAGCTCATGATCCATCCAGTTTTTGGAAATATATAAAGGACAAGCGTAAGAATAGACAGCAGTGCAAAGAATATATTTATAGTAATAAAGTGGTTGAAGGACAAGAAGCTGCTAATGCATTTGCCGAGCACTTCAGTTCCATTTTTCATAAAAACTCGCCTTTCTTAGACGCGGAGACTGCTGAGCGGGAAGCAGTTCATGCAGGGTTTGTGTCTGGGGTTAGAATAGACTACATTCAAAATTCCGAACTACGGCGCGCTGTTAATAGCCTTAAGGTCTCATCAGCTTATGGCCCAGACAATATACCTGCTTTTTTAGTTAAAGACTGTGCGTCTGTTTTGGAAGTACCGCTACTGTATATTTACAACTTGTCACTTCGCCAATGTCTATATCCCAATAAATGGAAAGTAACCAGAGTCACCCCAGTACCTAAATGTGGATCGTCCAATGATGTGACCAACTTTCGACCCATCGCTATTCTCTCGGTTTTTGGAAAAATATTAGAATCCATTATCAATAAGTCAATCTATACCCAAATAGCGGGGCTACTTCATTCTTCACAACATGGATTTCGGCCAAAACGATCCACTTTGACCAACCATATTCACTTCGTAGACTATGCAAAAACTAGAGTCAAGTCAGGTTGCCAGGTCGATGCTGCGTACTTCGATTTTAAAAAAGCTTTCGACCTGGTCGACAATGACATTCTTCTTAGGAAATTAGCTTCTCTAGGTTTTTCTAAACCTCTTCTTAAATTTATGGCAAGTTACCTCAGGAATCGTAAACAGTATGTCAAGATAGGAGGATTTAAATCTGAAGAATACTTCACTCGCTCAGGTGTTAGTCAAGGAAGTACAATAGGTCCTACTCAATTTCTAATTATGATAAATGATTTGCCTACTGTACTCTCCACAGCACAATGTCTTATGTTTGCGGACGATTTAAAACTATTCCTGTCAGTGACTAACATTGAAGAGTGCACAGCGCTGCAGCGCGATATAGAAGCAGTCAATAACTGGAGCATCGAGAATAAATTATCTTTCAATACTTCGAAATGTAAAACAATTAGTTTTTCCCGATCTCGTTCTCCTATAAAAGCAACGTATTTATTAGATGGCGTACCATTAGAGCGTGTACTATCTATCAAAGATCTTGGCTTAATTATAGACTGTAAATTAAATTTTCGAGAACACATTGCGAACACTTGTAAAGCAGCTAACAAATGTCTAGGATTCATTATTAGAACATCATCCCAATTCAAAAATGTCCACGTAATAAGGCTTCTTTATAATTCCTATGTTCGTAGTAAATTAGAGTACAACGCTATTATTTGGAACCCCCAAGAAAAATTATACAGTGCTATGGTGGAAAAAATTCAGCGAAAATTTGCGAGGTACACAATCGACAAACGACAGTATGGGTATTATCCATTTCTATACCCTTCCTTATTTGTATCGGGGATGGTTAGTATTGACACTTTACTACTCAGACGCGATCTATCAATGTTAATGCACTATTACTTCTTGCTTATAAATAAGATCGACAATGCACCCGTACGTGAATGCATTTATTTCTATGTCCCTGACAAATACATGCGTAGTGGCAGACGGCAACATAGACTACTGTCGTGTCCACCTAGTTGGCCTCTCCTCCAGATGCACAACAGCCCTACTGCTCGCGCCGTATCATTAATAAATAGCTTTCTACAGAATACTCCGGATGCAGACATATTTTTTGATGCTCCTTATGTCATAAAGAAAATGTTCTACCCTTTTCTGAATAGTTTTATGAAATAATTTATGATTTTTTGTCTTTGTTAATTGTATACATATATATTTTATTATTGCATTGTAATCTTAGCTATTTTTCTGTAAGCTTAGTATAGATATAAGCGTTTTGGTGTTACTGTAAGCTTGTATTCTTATGAATAAATGAATTTGAATTTGATAATAAAGAACTAGATACACAATCCCATACAAAAGTTCGCTTCAAAACTGTCGCCAACTGTATTTAGGTACTTATACTTGAAATAAAAATGCATTAATGTAAATTAAACCTTAAATGCAACTCATAGAGTTGTTTTTACAAAGTGATGTACAAAATCTTAATACTTTTTGCGACCGAAGCTCTTGACAAACACAAATCATAAGAAATCGAACCATATTCGCATGTTTTTAAGTCGAATTTACAAAGTGTCAAAAATAAGCAATAAAATTTAACGACTTCGGCTCACCGCTAGGACAAAGAATGATTGGAGTCGAAATGTCTCGTAAGAAATATATTTCTTTGGTATTTTATAATTTATCAAAAAAAGAAAATACGCAAATTAAAACGCATTACTTATAGTATTCTTTTCTATAGGTTTGTTCATTTATTTACCAATGAAACTAATGCATATAGTTATAATTCTTTTTTTTTATTTTCGTCCTCCTTAATCCTTTCTATTCGAAGTCAAATAAAAAAGATGTAAAATAATAAGAAGAATATATATCTAAAGTAAGTACTGAAAATGTTGGCGTTATTGTTGTCAATTTTTCATATCGAACGGGTCTTGATGAAAGCTAAAAAAAAAATTTCTTTACTGCAGTTAAAATTAAATCCATTACATCTGCCTATTCCATATTTTAATAAACACAGTAAAGAAGTATAATATTAAATAAAAACTATTTTTTAATAAAAAAAACAATAAATAAAATTAGAAACAATAGCGTCTCCACTAAACGGAACAGAATCAATCCACGTAAACCGAACAACTTAAGTGGTCATGCTAGAGAATGATTTTAAGTTTAGTATAAGTGTCTTTATAAACTGTGTGCATTATAACCCCGGTTTTTGAATACGATTTCATTTGGAAAAAGTTTTAAAGTTGATTTCTTAATAAAATATCAATATTTAAAATATAATGATGACAATTATATAATGATAATATTATTACTTAACGAAAATATGAAATTTCATCCTTTTTTGCATCTTAGATGTGTGTGTTTTTGCAGTTTTTTAACGAGCACTGAGGCGTGTTTACCTTCGGAGCATTCGAGTGGTACTAAACTAAAACTACACCGCGATGTTGAGTTTGGTGGACTTTCAGTTGGGACATTTTTTTGCCACTGATTGTGTATCTAGTTCTTTATTAGTGATCGATGATGGTATTGTCCGTTATAGATGGGAGATCGAGCGCAAGTTGCGCCTGGCGCGTCGTTCTGCGGCGCTGGGGTCGGTGTCGCCGGGCGAGCTGGCGCGCCGCCGCGACGCGCGCCGCCGCCGCCGCGCCCAGCGGGACGCGCGACGCCGGGACCGACAGCGACAGCCTGCTGGTACTACACTATTACTATTATTACCTTTTTAAAAAAACGTTGCCGCACATTACGATTTTCCCCTGTGTCGTGGGTGCGTTTACAAACATACAATTTAGCATACATATCATTTGTGTATCCCAGAAAGTATTGTTCCGTGTGGGAACCCACGACACATTGCACAGCAACCTGTAGCCCAACCACTGCACCAAGCGTGCACTCACTATTGTCGTATTTATATTAATGTTAAATAAATACAACTTTACTCTCATAATTTATTCATAGTACGGATAGCAAACCGTTTTTATTTTTATTTCATAGGGTAAATCGGTAAACGAGCTGACAGATTACCTGATGGTGAAGTAATCGACGCAGTCCATGGACCCACACAACACCAAAGGAATTACTAGTGTGTTACCGGCCTTTTGACATTGAGGGTTTCAGATATTTAAGTATTGGGAAGGGATGAGGAGAGAGAGAGGGCTCGAGCCTCCGGTAACCTCATTTACACGGCGTAACACTACGCAAGGGGTGGCAGTGGTATCACTCGGGCCGCTCCGAAACTAGGCTCATGCCACACTTTACCGTGGCGCGAAATTGAAGATGTCAATTGAGCATTGCTGGGCTGCTGTACATTGTTGTGTCTGTACAGAGACGGAGGAGCGGATGGAGCCTGCCCCGCCCGCGGAGCCCGAACAGGAGAAGGAGCCCCCCCCGCCCAGCCCCGGGGAGATACTCGACGACAACAAGGACACTGGTACTGCAGCATTCATTGCTTGTGTTCATTTGGGGACTTAGTGTTACCTAGAGTTTGTATGGCGCGGGACGGGAAGATGAACACTGCACTCGCAACACACTGCGAGCTTGCTGTCGACGCACTGTACAAACTTTAATACTATCTTTACGCTATTAAATCGGTAAACTATAGTACAAAATAACTAGCCACAGTTTTATATTGTTATGCAGTGGGACATCGATAAATTAATCGAATACAGTAGTTTTCAATTTGTGAAATACAATAATTTTATGCAAATGTCGAAACGATGCCTTTCTATGAAACATGTATCAAACTCCAAATTATGACGTCATCGTATTTATCAGGGAACAAGTTTACTTATTTCTTGAAATGTACTAAAACTTAGGAAATTACCCAGTGGCATGTTAATATCGCAGTGTAATTAATGTTCCAGATCGTTCCGAGCGTGTCGGGTCCCCGACGTTCGGCAAGACGGAGCGCAAGCGGAACGTGGACGACAAGCGGCAGAACGCCATGGCCGCGCTCCGCGCCCAGCGAGACGCCAAGGCCACGCGCGTCGAGCTCTCGCGACAGCGCCGCAGGCAGGAACAGGCCTCGCGGGACGATCACGACACTGACGTACGGATATCATTGAAGACTCGTCTATTGTACATGATACGCGACATTCACATTAGCCCTTTAAGGCCGCTATTCCTCTACATTACTAGCGTTGACGTCAACGTCGCGTGTACCCAGCGTCGACGCCGCACTAACGTTCACTGAACGCGAAGTTAACGTCGCGTCTGTTAGCAACATATACAATCTCGCCGCCCTGCTCTATCTAATGTATTCTGGCATACACTCAACAAAGGCGATGTTAACGTTGCACAGACGCGGCGTCAACGCTGCACAAACAGAACGTCCTTTGGAATAGCGGCCTTACTCAAATCATTTTCATAAAGTGCCAGTACACATTGCATTGAGCACTCATATACACCAGTACTCCCTACATCAAAATAGATAGAATTAGTTACTTGTTGGCGAAGTACATACATGTATAATAAACAAATATTCTTAGACTATCAATGATTTCTTTCCATCTACATATCAAGTTCTGTACGCCACATCCAGTCAGCAACAATCTTTATGGTCCTTCTAGCCGCATATAAACTAGCTACCTATGCATAATATATATCGAATAACTTGTAAAGACTTTTATATCGCAAATTAACCATTGTATAATTATTATCACAAAGACTCTAGAGTTTCATATCCGACGGTTTTTTCGGAAACGATGTCAATTTAATAAAATAAGATTGTAGTCAGGGAAAGTGGTATAATATAGTTGTACGTGTCGCAGGACGCGGACGCAGAGATCATCGGCGGGTCGAGCAAGCAGAGCGTCAAGCTGAAGGCGTCCGACATCTACTCCGACGACTCCGCATCCGACTCCGACGACAACAAGTCCCAGGGTAACATATACCTCCACTACTCAATATCTTTATTGCTTTGTACATGTCAAACGTGGTAACAATTTGTGTCAGATCAATTATGGATCCTGTAGGGCACAGCAAAATAAGGCAACAGGAGACATGAAGCTCTGTTTAATATCTTAAAATAACTTAATTATATTTAAACTATACTTAAAAACACGTAAAATATATTATACAGATCATTAATATCACATTACTTAAGCTACAATTTATTATATTATCTAGGTATCTGACTAAATTTACTTGTTTACCTCTCCCGCCACACTTTTATACGAATTCTGCTTCTAAAGGACTTCTGAAAACAAAACCAGCGCTGGCATTACTCCGGTTAATGAGACCTAGTCACGACGAAGTGTTAGAAACTTTACAGTATCAGAAAATGATTTTTTTAATTTTTTAACGTGATAGATCGGCAATCAAGCTTCAGGATTACCTGATGGTAAGCAATCAGCGTCGCCCATGGATACCCGCAACAACAGAGCAATTACGGGTGCGTTGCCGATCTTTTAGGGATCGGGGATTTGGAGGTTTAGGGATTGCGAGAGGGTAAGGATACGGCCCCAGGTAACCTCACTCATACGGCGGAACACATCATTGTGGTTGTTTGACGCCGGTTTTCCGTCAGGCCGTGGTATCATTTCGGTCGTGCCGACCCATTCGTGCCAAAACTTGGCTCTCTTTAGATATCATATATATCTAGAGTTAAGATATGAATAAAGCAACGCTTTGTTCCAGGCCGGCGCAGCTCGTCGAGCTCAGCGTCGTCGGGCGGCGAGGAGGACGACTCCAAGCGCGAGCGGGAACAGGTCGAGGTCAAGTACGCAGACACCAAGGAACAGATCAACAAGCTCAGGCTCAGCAGGTACCCTCAACTTGTACATTATATTCATCTTAATACCTTAAGGCTGGCCGTGTAACATCCATGCAAGTTTTCCATTTTAAATTTCTACTTAGAATAATCCATTAGTCGGAGTTTATTCGTGATGTTTGACTTGTGTTCTTGAATGAAACAAGTACAAATACAATATTATTGTTGTTACTAAGTTATTTGTAGTAAAGCGTGTGTATTGTCCCAGGTTCAAGTTGGAGAGGTTGGTGCACCTTCCGTTCTTCGCGCGCGTCGTGACGGGCTGCTTCGTCCGCATCGGCATCGGGAACAACAACGGGAACCCCGTCTACAGGGTACGGAATGCACTACTGCTGGACACGACACTCAATTATAATTATATTTTGGCATATGCGGATTATAATTATGCGTTCCTTTCGTCCTTGCGTCACTGCAGGGGTGCCTACTGAAAATTAAGGTTGGATGCTCATTGCGCTCCGCTTTTGCTGACCCGTTCGGATTGTGTCTGCCAACACTGCGTAGCATGTTATGTAACTGTTATCAAACGCCTGTCTTAGTTATAATTTATTTTATTTTTGTCCTTGGCATTCATGCCTTTTGCCTGAATAAATTGAAATGTTTGAATCCGCAATATGGTGCAGGTGGCGGAGATCGTGGACGTGTACGAGACGGGCAAGGTGTACAACCTGGGCGCGACGCGGACCAACAAGGGCCTGAAGCTGCGCCATGCCACGCAGGATCGCGTCTTCCGTCTCGAGTTCGTCAGCAACCAGGACTTCACCGACACAGAGTTCCACAAGTGGAACAAGGCCATCAAGGACGCCAACAAGAAGCCCCCCACCATGGACTTCGTCCGGAACAAGATACAGGAGGTCAAGGAGGCCCTCATGTACGAGTTCAAGGTCAGTTACACGCACACTAACGCGACACCATTCCTGTCTACACGTCAGCTATGAACTTCCAAGCGTGAATGACGTTGAACAAGATCCATCCAAGACCCTAGCCCCGAGTTATGTTGCTATGACCACCCATAGTCGACACTATTTGCTTACCAAATGATTCGTTCGCTCATTAATCACCATCCTATGGCAAACAATCTATTAACACACACCAAAAACTGGAGTTTGCTGGTAAAAATATGTGCTAATGAATATCAAATAATGGTGATTGGCAGGAGGAGGACATTGAGAAGATAGTAGCGGAGAAGGAACGGTTCCGGTCGCACCCCACCAACTACGCCATGAAGAAGACGCAGCTCATGAAGGAGCGAGACGTCGCCCAGCTCAGGTACATCGCTACTCTATACTGCGAAACAGTCTTATCTGTCAATTAACTTACAGCGTCATCATTCATATATGCCCGGTTCCTATATTTAACGAATCGTCGTTGTATACGCATTACGACCAAATGACATTACGAATAGTTATCTTGGCCGTCTACTGACGGTTAAAATATTTATAGAAAAACCACAGACACCATAGATCTCCATACAATTCGCTTACCGATATCCGTTAGTTGCAAACCGTCAGTAAGTTGCACGACGAGACGTTTGTTATAGGAACGGTTTTAGCTTACGAGTCGTATATAAAACTATTATTCGTAACTAAAACGGATCGTTTCTCAATTATAGGAACCGGGCATTAATCATCGCATGGAACGTTGACTTGAGTAACTGTTTATATGCATTGTAAATATTTGTTATTTTACCCGTCACTTCAATAGACTTACTATGACTTCTGAATTTCGTACAATTTCTTCTTAGAGTAGTATTGATGTATTAAATTCATTAAATGTACATGTAAAATAAAATGTTTGTTACAGAGGTGACGATGAGACAGTGATGGAGCTGAACGCAAAGATCCAGGAACTCGAGGAGCGAGCCAGTCAGCTCGACAAGACGAGGACTTCCTCCATACAGAGCATCTCCTACATAAACAACAGGAACAGGAAGCTCAACGTGGAGACCGCGGAGAAGGCCATCATGGAGGAGGTGAAGGCCAACAAGGGCAAGAAGGTGGACGATCCCTTCACGCGGCGGAGTACCAAGCCCGTCATGAACTTCAAGTCCGGGGGCAGCAAAGCACCGGTACGTATCATCATTATCGTGTTCTGTTTTAACTATCATGTTGTTATATTTAGATCTATATTTGTTTACAAGTCCCTTACTGAAAATGTTTGCTTTTGAACGAGTTATTCTTTATTGAGCTTTTCCTACTACGTTATTTGTGGATGGGTGGGGTGAGGTGGTTCGTACTTGTATAACCATGAAGTGTCCCACAGGAGGCGCGGGCCGAGGAGGCGCCCCCCGAGCCCAGCGCCCCCAGCGCGCCCCGCGCCCCCGACCGCGCCCCCGAGCCGGCGGCGCGGCCCGCGCGCCCCCCCGCGGCAGACGCGGCCCGGCCGGGGGGCGGGGGCGCAGGGGGCGCTGGGGGCGCGGCCAGCCTGTACTCGCTGCACGACTTCGACATCAGCATCGAGCTGGACCTGCCGGCGCCGCGCCCCCCGCCGGCCGCGCCCCGCGCGCCCCCGCCCGCGCCGCGCGACCCCGGCCCGCGACGCTCCCTCAACCTGGACGAGTACAAGAAGCGCCACGGACTTATATAGGGGGAGGGGGGGCGGACTGTGCCAGTGCCAGTGAAGTGATTACGGGAGTCGAACGTTCGCGGGACGTGATTAGTTAATAATTCATATTGTTTTATCTGTATAACGATGTTACTGCGTTTTATTTTATATTACACAATTATGTATCGAGCCGGTCGGATTGTCATACAATCGCCGATGCGTCACTCGTCCACTCGTGTGTGTCGATATGTTACTGTACCTTAAAAATGTTGAGTGTAACAATTAACAATATAAAATGTCGGTGTCCACGAATTCCTTGCGAAAATACTTGGAATGAGGTTACACTCAATATTTTTGATATGATGAATCAATGACAAATGGAGTGTCCTTTGCATCCTACTGCCAACCTGCATCCCGCTCCGCGTACCGAGGTACATGGTATACAGCAATATGTATCCAAGTCGAAGCCTCTTGTTTCATTTTCCGTCCAATTACATTTGGTGAATACTAGAAACAGTGGTCGTACTCCCCGCGAGTCCTGTATAGTCGGGCAGTAATACTGCGGGACACTCCGGTAGGTCGTGCGTGTGGAGCTAAGACTTAGACTTACAATGTATGTATTTACCTCCAATGTGGCGGATGCCTGGTAGCCTTAATTAATCTAAGTAGTTGTTATAGCTTATTTATTATTATCCCTGTCCCGGCCGCAGCCGGTGCCCTCTGTGGGCTGGCAGGCCGGACAGTTTTAGTATTCCTTTTTACTGTATATTGTATGAATTCAACTTGCAAGAGCAATAAAAATGTAAGAAATGTATTTAATAAATGAATGATAAGAAGCTAGACTAGTGAAACCGCCATGTGACGCAAATGTTGCAAAATCGAACTACAAACAAAATATAGTTCTCGAATAGTATCGTTTTGGTTGGAGAGCGCCTACTTCGCGCCTGATAGAAAGTGTGGAAATACGTTTATAGGCAAAACTTTCCAAAAACTACGTCACTGCGGATTGCGCAATTCCTCGTTATGATTTAATTTTTACGTTAGCAGTTATATAAATATATTACGTGAGCCGTGGAGGGGTGGAGTCGCGGGATCCGCTAGTGTCGCAGTCGACAGTTCCTCGCAACAATTCGTGTTCAAACATTTGTACCGTTGTAATAGTTGTGTACTTTATTTATTTGACTATGAACAAATTGATAATGGTTAATACTTAATTCTTGTAAATGGAAGCTCAAAAGCTTAAATAAAATTTGATAAAACGAGTCTCGAAGCATTTTATTTCCATCAAAACATTGCCATACTGGTGGCGGGGATCTTGCGAGAGTCGATGTTAGTGCTCGTATGTGAGTGTGCAAGCTCGACATGAAGTTGTAGATGTGGGGAGTTAGATGAAGCCAGCCGGGGCCTGCTTGATCCGGCCCGTGGTGACCTTGTCCTTGACGTCGACGCGCGCGCTGGTGTAGAAGCCGATGGAGATCTTCTCGATGGAGCTGACGGTGCGGGCCAGGCCGCCGGCCAGCTGGACGGAGGAGACGGGGAAGGCCCAGAAGTAGTGTCCGCGGTACTTGTTGCGGTAGTTGGCGAAGACGACGCCCTCGAGGCGCGCCTCGTACTCGACCTCGAGGTCCAGCGTGCCCTGCGTCGCCGTCAGGCTGGCCACCACGCCCTGCCCCGGCGCCAACTCCACCTCGACGCCCGTCGACGAGCCCAGCGTCGCCGACTTCTCCTTCGTCGTGTCGTTACCCCAGCTGGCCGCGTACGACAGACTAGTCTTTCCCCCTGCGCTGCCCGCAGCAAAGTTGACGCTGTACTCGATCTCCTGGCCCACAGTCAGCTCTCCCCCGACCGACCAGGTGTTGGAGACGGTCTCTTGAATCTCCTGCTTGATGGCGGCGTTATACTTGGCCTTGACTCCGCTGTGGTTCTCAAACTCCCGCGTGGCCACGATCACAGGTTTGGTGTGCACTCCCAGGATCCTCGTTCTGATAGGTTTAAGGATCCTCTTCACTTGTTCCCAATTGTAAGTCTTGTAGACGTCGTTCCACGGCGTCGGGCTCCTCACGTACACGTCAGTGGGCGCCGCGTCGGCAAACTTCTCGACGGCTCGCTTGAGGCTGCGGTCCCCAATGTCGAAGGTCTCTCGCTCCCGGTCGCTGATAATCTCAACATCCTCGCCCCCGTACTGCACCTCCGCCTCCGCTTCCGAGGTCGCAGCTGTTATCTTTATAGATATCCGACACTCCACGAGCGCCGGGATTAAAAAGAGTAGAAAATATTTGGACACCATTGTCACCTGTAAACAGACACCGAACAGTTACAAACAGCACAACAACAGCCATGGCTCAGAGTCACGTTCAGGAAGAATACAACAATCTGCATACAATAAATGAACGCGTGTTTACCTGATCAGTCTGAGATGTCCAATAATCATTCCCCGACCGTCAGCAAGTCTATATATTCTGTAAAAGGTATGTTATCGCGACGCGTAACAGGATTTTAACTAAAATATGAATTAATTGAACCACTAATGTGGCAACCAATTAGACAAACAAGTCTACAATCACTTCAATATTGATTTTAAACTGCCTTTCTTACGAGATAGCTCGGCAAACGAGCAGACGCATCAGCTGATGGTAAGCTATCATCAGTGCCCTCCATGGACAACTGCAACATCTGAAGAGTTACAAGTCCGCACTGTCAAAAGTGCACAAGCGGCTTTATGAGGTGAGGATTAGTAACCTCGTGTGAGGTCGTAGTAGTGTATCACTGGTCTGGTCAAAACATAGAGCCTCTTTACGGTATCAATTCCGAATAATGTTTTTATTGAGCAGCATCACACATTAAGGGTTTAAGTATTATACTTATAAACTCTCAAGTGTGTGATACCAGTGGTGGTAATACAAGTGCCTTGCCGGCCTTTTAGGGATTAGGGTTTGAGAAGGGATGGGACGAGGGAAGGGATTGCCTGCTCTGGTAACCTTAGGTACTCACACGGCAAACCACATGGTTGTTTCATGCCAGTTTTCTACGAGTGTTATCACACACTCCGGTAGAGTCGACCAATTCTTGCCGAAGCATGGCTATCCCAAGTAAGTAGTCAGTATCGGTATAGTACCAATTTGGCTTTTTCCAAATTATGTTTGTAATGTGCATGTGCTTTAGTATGCTTGTTTGTGCTAAAATTTATTTAGACACCGTTTTTATACGGTGAAGGTTAACATCGTGCGAAGACGAATGGATATTAGCTATATTCAAATTACAAATTTGAATTCGCTAATCCGCCTTGAGCAAGCGAGCTTCAATAATGCTAATTTATTTATTATCTTGTAAGACCGTTTAAGAGCATCTAGTTTTTATACAAACCTTCTAAATCTATATATACATATTACCGGCCAAGGGTGTATCGGGCTACGCTCAGTGTAGGGTTCCGTAACCCGTCCCCTACCTAGTTATCTAAAAGTTATTGTAAATCTTAAAACTGCAGTTCAATTTTAAGTAGCAAAAGTACAGCGCCCCATCTCATTAATTTTTTTGTATTTGTACAGTTCAACCTAATGAAGTCAAGGTTATTTCCATATTTTATTACCTTAAGGTTCAAAAGTTACAGAGGGGGACGCCTTAAGTTTTGGAGCGATTATTTCCTTTAATATCGACATAATCAAAAAATGATCGCAGTTAACCCCTATTTACTTTTAAATACGTATCCAACAATATATCACACGTTAGGGTTGATGAAAAATGGGCGGAGTGGTATCCAAACATTTTTATTTTCACCTTTTTTTAACACCTTGCCGGCGTGATTTATACCTACTATAGATATTGGTGCCAAGGTTCAGCTTTCTAGTGCTAACGATCACTGTGATTATCCGCGGACGGACATACAGATAATATAATAACTCAACAATTTTGAATTTTTTTTTTGTTTTGTTATTGTTAGGAGAAAGTTCTTAGGTAATGTAAACGGCAGTAACGGGGTATTCAACCCTTTCGGCGGCACCGGGTCGCCATACCCGTGCGAAGTAGGGGCGGTCCGCTAATCAGAAATAAAAGTAAAGGAGAAGTCAAATACGATATGCCGGCCACATTCAGTTTTCTTTATAAGTATTGTACATGTGACAAAATAAATTCATTGTTCTATTGTTCGGTTCAGTAGTATCCATGATGTCGGATTCGAGAGTTTGTTTGGATGCTCGTGACATACCTACTAGATGGGGGTTGCAAATGAAAACACACGTCAAGTAACAAAAATATATTATTATTGTACAATGTATTTACACATAACATCTATCTATACATTTGTTATCTCTTTCTAACATAATATATTGATCTATTTGTACAACGTTATCCGGGAATAGCTTACACATAAGACGCCCTGCCCCACAGGGGGCGACACTGGGCCACATCTCTTTAGATTCAATATTTCGACTATTGCTTACATTACATAATATCACGTCTGTCCTTCCCCAGAGGTAGAAAGAGGCTGCACAACCATGATCGGTGTCTACTGACGATTCTGAATTCTGAATATAATTTAAAATGAAAATAATGAACTCGGTATTGGATGGCACCCAATACTTGGCGATCATGAAGCGTTTGATGAGGGTCTAGTCTACTGCCATATATTCTCAAAACTTGGTGTTACACGTTACAAGTGTGTGAGGCTGTGGCAGTAGATACGCTGTTGAAGTGTCACAGTCACAGTAAGACACGGGCACTGGGCACTAGTCCGCCTTGTCGGCGGCGGGGTCGACCGCGGCCTGGTCGCGGCGCCGCGCCAGCAGGCGGGCCCCCAGGTACCCCAGCACGGACCCCGCGGCGGCTGCCACGGCCCCCGCCTTGGCCCCCACAACGAGCCCCACGGGCCCCGCCGCCACCAGCCCCAGCGCCGCCCCACCCGCGCCCCACGCCCCCGCGCGCAACCTAAACACGAAGCAACTGTGTCAACGCATCTTGGATGCCGCAATAATGAGTACTTTGGTCATTTTCGATGGTATCATGGTGCACGGTACATCAAAACAAAAAGCCCTTAATTCGTGCCCAATTCTGCTATCGAGTATGACGTGTAAGTATCACTAGCACAACCAAGGTTAGACATGCATAAAGCTGAATTATAAAATTGCGATCTTTAGGTCATCCGCAAACCGTGGAGATGATGCCCCCTCACCTCTCCCCGGCCGCGAGGTGTTGTCGCGCGGCGCTGACGTTGTCGGCGGCCACCGCCACGCTGGACTCCGCCGCCGCCACCTGCAACACGCGGCGCTAGTACGTCGCTCGGGGCTGCTGCACTACTGCCTACTGGCATACTACCATACTACGGACCTGGTCCCGCTGGGCGAGGGCGGCGCGCTGCGTGTCTTCCCAGACCTGGTGCAGCGCGAGTAGCTCTGCCTGCAACTCGCTACAGCCGCGGAGCAAGGCTTCACGTTCTTGCAGGTTGATTTCCTATTGGGGCAAGGTTTGGGTTTCATGTCGTTCTAAATTTTTCAAAAGTTAAGTATGGGCTGCTAAAGTTTTTGGGGTAAGTGCGTCGTACCTGTTCATCGACGTAGAGTTGTATATCTCCGGCCAGCAGGTCGGCCCCGGGCTGGGCGTGCGCCACCACCCCCACCGACTCCGTGGACACCGCGCTGGCCGCCAACGGCGCCGCGTCCGGGCTGCCCCGAGCTATCGGCTGCGGGGCGCTGCCTATCGGGGCAACACTGCAGCGTTAGCTTATACTCAGACTCCAAAGACATGCGTCGCGCTAGCAGGCAGTTACCGAGGTAGTCCCGCACGGCGCGCAGCGTGGCGTCCCGCGAGCGCTGCGTGAGCGCGTCGAAGCGCGCGCGGTCGGTCCCCCGCACGCGGCGCCGCAGCGCGCCGAGCTCCGTGAGCAGCTCGCGCAGGCGGGCCGCCGCGCGCGCCGCCTCCGTCGCCGACGCCCGCGCGCGCCGCCACTCGCCCGCCCGCTCGTACTGCAACCACTCCGCACTACTCACACTGCCACGCTCGCAACCACTTACTGTGCCATTTATTCATTATATAACTCATAGTAAATATCAAGTAGGAAGTACCTATAATGATAATAATTGTTCAGCAATCATCAACATGGCTGCAAATAACAGATCCACAACTACTAAGCATCGCGCAGACATGGATGGAGGTAGTTATGCATGTTGACGCTGTTTATGCGTGTTTGACGAGGTTTCACATGTACTGCTTGTTAAGAAACACGCCGCGTCTGAGACATCACGGGTGATCTTTTAAAGTGGTTTGGTTCCTATCTTACTTGTTGGGATATTTTCTAATGTTTAAAGTCTGTGCCTTTCCTCCTCTCCCATAATCATTCTATGCTGTGCCTGACAGGGTCCAAACTTGTGTACTTATTACTCCAGCGACTCATGTTTATTTTTTATGGTATAGGTTGATAAACGAGCAAACAGATGACGGACCTGATGGTAAGCAATCAGAGCCGCCCATGGACACCCGCAACACTAAAGGAGTTAGGAGTGCATTGCCAGCCTTTTAGGTATAAGGGTTTTGGATATTATTTAAGGATTGAGGAGGGACGGGGGGGGGGGGGGGGGGCACAATCCATCCATATTTTCTTTGGTCTATAAAGTGAATATGAATAGGTTCTGACACTACATGAGCAATTATTAGGTAATTCATCAACTGATGGGAATTTCTCCATTTTAATAACTTGATTAAAAAGTAGGAAAATATACATATATCTATATTATATTAATTATTTTAATTATAAATATAGTATAGACCTAGTGTGCGAAAGGGGCAAGTTGACATGATTTCTATAAAATGAATTTAGTAATATTGTATTACATTATAGACATGTTTATGAAAGTTGGTTAAAATAAATCACTCCACATACTTCACCCTAACCCGAATTATAGGATACATGAGTATAGTATATACATAGGAAAAACTATTATTTAAGCAGTTTTATCTATGTTCTTAACTGCATAGGATCATTATTGGGGAGATGTTATTCAGGAGAAATAATTTACTTCTACAAACTGTAACAATACTATTTCCAATGTGTGAATGTGCTTTCGGGAATCTATTTCCATACTTGTCAATCACAATATTCACATTAATTAGTGTGCGTAAAACTTAAATTATTAAATAACAAACGAAATGACTTATTTATTAGTTACAATACGAATCATTCAAATATGTGCAACACGCATTAAGAGAGTGTCTGTTACGCAAACTGGTGGCACGGGCTGTCGAGCTGTTCCAGCTAAACAAAGGGTATAGAAATAGAGTACGACGCACGTTACCTTGATAATATTCGCCTTATGTTGTCGCAATAAATCCAAGTGATGAGGAATTGCTACCTCGTTAAACTTTGTTAAAGAAAACTCCACCCGCTTTAATGGCAACGTGTCCTCGTCATCCATAACGGACTTATTATAATAATATATTAAAGTTATAAAAATATGTTGTTTATTTTGAAATCAAATCACTTTGTGACATCTCAATGAAATTTTGTAAATTTTGTATCGTTACTTGACAGTTGACAAGTTTGATTGACACAGACAAATTTAAAAGTCGTCAAACATCAAAGCTAGTGATGCTATAACTTTGACTTGATAATAGATATTGTAAAGATTATTTGTCTGATATTATATACCTAGTATTTAAGTCTTAGAGACAGTATAGCCGTTTGACTACAAAATTCATAAAAATCTTATATCACGACTTCAATTAAGCTTGCTCATCGCTAGGTAAAATAATTATAAATTACAGGAAAACTAGAAACATTATTTATTTTAGTTTAAATAAATGTAGTGCGGGTTTTTTCAAAGAAAGAAAGGATCATGTCAAAGAAATATTATGCACATAGTATGAAACGAAGTCCAACGAGTATATATTATAATAAATATAACTAATTCATGATGGATGAAATGGCGACAGGTCACTGGAACAACTTGCGACCCACGGATGCCCCTCAGGTTGAAGGGTAAAATCTACAAGTCAGTGATAAGGCCTGTCCTACTGTATGGGTCAGAATGTTGGGCTCTGAAAAAGACGGATGAAAAGCGATTGCATGTAGCAGAGATGAGAATGCTGAGATGGATGTGTGGTGTGACGAGATTGGATAAAGTGAGAAATGAGTATATTAGAGGAAGTTTGAAAGTGGCGCCAGTGACTGAAAAGTTGAAAGGGAACCGTTTGTCTTGGTATGGCCATGTGAAAAGGAGGGATGAAAAGCATGTAACAAAAAAAGTCATGTGTATAAATGTGGATGGATGGAGAGGCAGGGGGAGACCAAAGAAAATATGGATGGATTGTGTGAGAAGTGATATGGAAAACAGAGGAGTTAGCGATAGCGTGACGAGTGACAGGACAGAATGGAAGAAAAAAACATATTGCGCCGACCCCAAATAAAACGGGACAAGGGCAGGAAGATGATGATGAAATATAACTAATTCATTTATTGGTTTCGGTCCCTATGCTGTGTGCCATTATTTCATTACGTACTAACAATGTATGTGTATAATTATGTAAATATGATTCGACGGTATTTTTACTATTTTCGTGAGCTGTTTTTTTTGTTGGTGTTGGCAACACTGTTCTTGTCGTTAGTTCAACTTATTGGTTTAAAAGACTTGTATCCAGGCCATAAACTCCAAAAAAAAGTAATAGTTCAACTCAGTTGTCAATTTTAGACGGTTGTGATTGTGAGTGAAGTTCAGTCAACAAGTCAGTGTCACTGAATGTACTAAATTAGCGTTATCGTTTTCTTTGCCAATTTACTCTAGATTATTCTCATTGTGTGGTGTTTAAACTTAATATTTTGTATTAACAATTTTATACATGCTGCTCAATTAGTTTCGTAGAGCACAATCGTGTGTTCCGAATCTGCATCATAAAACAATGGACGTGGATACAGGTATGCTATTAATTTTTTTTCTGCTTCTAACCTCAATGTTATGATTGTTATGTCAAATCGGAGTAATGCTACATCAATACCTATAAAATCGAATTTCTAAAACTATTCGCACATTTCTGTAATTCATCTGAACGTTTCATTGGTCAATCACCAAACAATAACATTGTAACAATTTAGCATTAGAGGCGTAAGTATGAAGCTGAACTATCAAAAAGATCTCTGGTCTTCTCCCGGGGATGTCGCCTGAGTCTCATGAGTCTCTCGACAGGCTACGTAACCTTACATTTAGCAAAGACTTTGTTAAATGTGAGTTGATTATAGTTGACACAATCATAAATAAATTATAGATGGCAGATTCGAAAAATCATTCACAATGCAAAAAATCTCTTATATGGCTAATTTAGGAAGGGAATTAGCAAGGTTCAGGTCGTTAGTTAGAGAAATGTTTTGAATTGCCTGCAACTGAAGCTGCAGGAAGATAGTGTTAAATGCAAAGTCAAAATATTATTAAGATTGAAGTATGTAAATAATTCACAGGCAACTATTGGTTGCTTCTTTCTTAGTTATGGTATTTAAAAATGCATAACTTCATAAGTCTACCTTAAAGCAAGTACCTATTTTTGTTAAAATAAAAGCTTAAAATAAAATAAAAGCAGAAATTTGCAATAAATTGTATGAAACATGTTTCTAATACCTAATTAAAATTCATCTACATATACTAATATTATAAAGAGGTAAAATTTGTAAGTTGGATTGCCAAAATTCTTTCACTGATAGATAGCTACAATGTTCATAGTGATATAGGCTATAAAACATCATGCTACAATCAAATGGGGCTGAGCAGTGGGTAAAACCGCGCGAGAGTAGCATTAGAATGTATGAATTTGTATTTAATAGTATACTTTCTATAAGTACATATTTTTCATGGTTTGTAACTTAGTGGGAAAGATGATGGATTACAAGTTTAAGATTGTTTCGTTGCGCCACTTGTATACAATCTCTGGTTTAGTGTTTACTTTTTACCTTGTAAATTTTGATGATAATATTGTCAGAACAAAGGGCTTTATCTTAGCAGAGTATAATAATAAGTTTTTATTTTGCAGGAGGTCGCTCGCCCTCTGGCTCCCGCAGCCGCAGTCCCTCTGTAAGTACTCATCTGTCTACAGCAGATACAATACATACAAGCATATTTAGAAAATAGTGTATGTTTATGTGTAGCATCACAAGATGCCACTCTATGTTTTCTATTAAAGTTGGATGCAAATTATTCGAAACCAGTCAAGTGATTAAGTACATTGTTCTGTTTGCAGGCGGGCTCGGTGTCCAGGATGTCTCACGATGGCTCCACACATTCAAGGCGCAACTCGAGATCTACATCACGCTCAAAGTCGCGCTCCCGCTCTAAGTCTCACTCGCGTTCCAAGTCTAGGTCACGCTCCAAGTCTCACTCGCGTTCTAAGTCTAGGTCACGCTCCAAGTCTCACTCGCGTTCCAAGTCACGTTCGCGTTCCAAGTCACGTTCGCGTTCTAAGTCTCATTCACGTTCCAAGTCTCGCTCGCGCTCCAAGTCTCATTCTCGATCGCGCTCCAAGTCTCGATCGCGTTCTAAGTCGCGTTCGCGCTCCAAATCTCGATCGCGTTCTAAGTCTCGATCCCGATCAAAGTCCAGGTCACGCTCCAAGTCAAGCGCGCGGTCCCACAGCGGCTCCCACAGGTCGCGGTCTCGGTCTCGCAGTGGCTCCCCGGCGCAGGGCATGGAGGTAGATACAGGTGAGTCTGGGCCCGCGTACTACGATGCAAGCTGGGTTACACTGCAGTACGCATCACCGTGTATCTGATCTCTGTCACAGGAACACGTCGCTCCCGCTCCCGCTCCGGTTCGCGACGCTCAAAATCCAAATCTCGGTCAAGATCACGATCTAAATCGCGTTCCAGATCTAAATCACCTGATCGAGGTAAAATATATGTGATGCTTCTTTATTTATTAATATTCCCTTTTGCTTTAGTCATTATTTTAGTTATTTGTAATGTAGTAAAAAAAAACCTCTTTAATTTATTTAGCAACGACAGAGGAACATAAAATTTTTGAGAAAGCATTTGTACATATCCGTTTGTAGAGACTGTGGTACATTATCAATATAATACCTTAGATAGAGGATGATGTACTTATACTAAGAGAATCAGCTATTACCAACTTTCCTAAATTCTTCGAAACATTCATTGAATGTACTAATGATTGGTGTCCATTATTCCAGTGCGTAAAAGTAGGAGTCGCTCGAGGTCTGGCTCTGGCGCTCGTAAGGCTGGCTCGCGGTCACGCTCTGGCTCTCGTTCCAAGTCGAGGTCCCGCTCCAGGTCTCGCTCCGGTTCGCGCTCCAAGTCCCGCTCTCGCTCCAAGTCCCGCTCTCGCTCCAAATCTCGCTCCCGCTCCAAGTCCAATTCTCGCTCCAAATCTCGCTCCCGCTCCAAGTCCCACTCCAGGTCCCGCTCTAAGTCTCGCTCCCGCTCCAAGTCCCGCTCCCGTTCGCGGTCAGGCTCGCAGTCTAGCGCGGGGTCGCGACGCGCTCCCAAGCGGCGCACCGTACGCCTGCAGTCGGATGACGAGCCCGGCCAGGCCGGGTCCCCCGGGTCCCCCGCGTCCCCCGCCGCCGAGCAGCCCGCAGAGCGGCAGGACGCGGCGCCCGCCGCCGACTCGTCGGACGAGGAGCTGGAGCCCGACCTGAAGTCGGCCGACATGGCGGCCGGCATGTCGGACTTCGAGCTGATGCTGGCGCGCAAGCGGGAGGAGCGGCGCGGGCGGCGGCGGCGGCGCGACATCGACATCATCAACGACAACGACGACCTCATCGCCCAGCTGCTGCAGCAGATGCGCGCCGCCGCCGACGAGGACCGCGACCTCAACAAGCGCAACCAGCCCGCCGTGCGCAAGGTGTCCATGCTCAAGTCCGCCATGTCGCAGCTCATCAAGAAGGACCTCCAGCTCGCCTTCCTCGAGCACAACGTGCTCAACGTGCTCTGCGACTGGCTCGCGCCCATGCCCAACCGGGCCTTGCCCTGTCTGCTCATCCGGGAGAGTATCCTCAAGCTGCTCATGGACGTGAGTCTATTCACTCTATTTATTGTCACCACGCCGTCAGTTTCATTATAACGAAGTTACAAGTCGCAAGTGTACGAACGTTGCCTGTCCCTCGTTGCAGTTCCCGTCGATTGACAAGTCGCTGCTGAAGCAGTCCGGCATCGGCAAGGCAGTGATGTACCTGTACAAGCACCCCAAGGAGACCAAGGCCAACCGCGAGCGCGCCGGCCGGCTCATCTCGGAGTGGGCGCGGCCCATCTTCAACCTGTCCACCGACTTCAAGGCCATGACGCGCGAGGAGCGCCAGGCGCGCGACGAGGCCATGGCGGGGTCGCGGCGGCGCGCGGCGTCGCCCCCGGCCGCCAAGCGCGCGCGCGACGAGCCGGCCGCGCGGCCCGGCGCCCCCGGCTGGGTCGCCCGCGCCCGCGTGCCCGCGCCCTCCTCCAAGGACTACGTCTACCGCCCCAAGTCCACCTGCGAGCTCGACATGTCGCGGGTACGTCGCGCCCCCACTCCCCGCTCCCCTCGCTAGCTCGCTAGCTCGCCTCTCTCAATGGCGCTCTCTGTTACAGACCACCAAGAAGAAAATGACGCGCTACGAGAAGCAGATGAAGCGGTTTATGGACCAGAAGCGCATGAAGAGCGGCTCCCGGCGCGCTGTCGAGATCTCCATCGAGGGCCGCAAGATGGCGCTGTAATGTGATGTTTTCTTTAAGTCATAGTGTTTAAGTTGATATGGTTACTACGGAACTGAATAAATTATGTGACGAAGCGCTCTGTTTCATTCACCGCACCTTCCAATAGCAGAAGGACGTGGCGGTAGACAAATCTAGGTACTTACATTGAATCAAACAACGCGTGCTAAGCGAAACTGAGCTAGATACGCCCGATGCTAGAACAACATGAAGTCAATTGTTTGTTGTTGTAACAAATAGTAGTTAGTTATGATCCTAATATTACAAAAGGATACCTAAGCTTGAGTAAGGTAGTAACGATATACCAGTCTGAAACTAAGGATTTTGAATGATTATAAACATTCAGGCTTGCCATGTAAAATGAAAACAATCCAATGTAACTCTTGAAAAATATTGAAGTCATCCGAATAAAACTCGAATGACCAACAGTGGTATCAAGAAGTCTTATGCGCACTTAAAAGTGGGCACACACAACCGGTTAGATATGTGCAAATAATACTTAATAAACAATATTCATAATGACTCGATTGAACAGTAATTACAACTCTTTGTCGAGTTGATCTATCACATCCATAAAAAAGAAAAAGGGTAATTCCCGCATTTCTGGCATTAGGTTATTTGGTTATTTTATATGACATCACTATTTTCATATTGTGTATTAAAAGGTGTATCCATATCGAATTTTTGTTAATTTTGTAAACTTTTGCTTTTGTATTCATTTGATTGTGCAAATACGTCGAGTCGTGATCTGTTGTTCATTGATGAATGACTTACCTATTTCGAGCATAAATATTTTAACAGGTAGCGTAGGTACCTAAATACATAGTTGTGATATTAAATCGATATTGAAACATAATGCACTTGTTTATTTTATTTTTATGCCTTGCCTAGTCGACTTACGACGACGTAGGTATATGTAGGTATGGCGGGGTTGCGGGTTAAGCGCAATAAGTAACAATGAGTTGGCTTGTTAATATAAGTATACTTATAGTTGAATATGCCCTGGCTCCATGAACACGTAACGTTGGTTACACTGCACCTCCATTTATAACTAATTAGTAGCTGAGCCCAGGATGCTAAATTTGTAGTTACTCAAGCGTCGTAGAGAGTAATTAGATTCTGAAGATTTGGTGATAGAAATAAAAATGGGTTAAAGACATTCCATTCCTCCGGTGGTGGCTGGCCACCTATATGCCGGTTACCACGTTCGTGGCCGTGTTTGGCTGGGGGGATACTTTCCCAATATGAGTGTCTGAGGTAACTCTATAACGATGTCATCGGTTAAGTGTAGTTTGGAATTTTTTGAAACAATTAATATGTTCAACACTTTTACATATCGGAAGGTGTCGGCCTTGAATCCAGCAATGTTATTGTAACCCAAGTTGAGTATCGCTATGTAACTAAACACAGTAAAGAACGTTTCGTCTACGTAACTTATGTGGTTGTTGTCGAGATATAACTTGACCAGCGGCTTGCTCGCGTTGCCGGCCTCGGCGCTGTCTGCGACGTAAAGTTTCTGTAATTTATTAAAACTGACGTCTAGGCACTGTAGTGGAAGTTGTTTGAAATCCTCAAAGTAAATGTCTTCTATGTCGTTGTGAGACAAATTGATTGTTTCAAGTGACTTTAGTTTCGTTATGTCAACTTTCTTCAAACGATTATGCGATAAGTTTAATTCTTTTAACAACTTCAAATACTTTAAGTTCGTGCGGAGCGCTTCCATGTCGTTGCAACATAGGTTCAAGTAGCTCAAATGTTTGAAGTTCGCGAAGAAGCGGTCTCCCAACGTGTTCAACTTGTTGCCTTGGAGGTACAAACTTCTCAAGTTGTATAAATTGACAAACGACTCCTCCGACAAATGGGTCAACAAGTTGTACGACAGATCCAACATGTAAAGCCGACTTTTATTTTCGGAGAATTGCAAAACTCCAGGTTTTATAGTTGCGATGTGGTTCCGTGACAAATTCAAAGAGTCCATTTGTTCTAAGCCATTAAAAGCGTTTCCTAATATTTTTATGTGATTTTCGGATAGGTCCATGTAGAGTACATTCTTGAAGTTGCTCAATGCCTCGTTTTGCAAATAGTGCCACTCATTTCCAATAGCGGACAAAATCCTGACGAAAGAATCGAACTCGGTAATAAAGTGTTTCGCTGTCACACTGTGCACAGACGATTGTTTGATGTGAAGTGTGACGTAGGGATCTACGTGACTGCAGTCGTAGGCGGGCCGGAATGTGGACGGATCACTGCAGGTGACCGTGTAGAAGCAAGGGCCGTCCGACCGGAGCGTGCAGCCTGCGTACAAGCGCTGCGCCAAGCAAGTGACGGCGATACCTGGAACACCAACATGGGGCCATTCTTCAGATTCAGCAGAACTAGAAATAAAATTAAACCTACTATAAACTATTATGTATGAGGACTTTTTATAGGCACTTGTAATGGAATTACACAGAACTAATTTACAGAACCCGAAGAGAATTGAAGCAGCGTGACACGTGGTCGATTACCACAATACCCGTACAGACCTACCTAACAATAATTGTGTGACGATGACATAAACCTTGCTTTATGAAGATTACTGCGATTGAGTACAGACCGCTCACTAATGAGTTTATATCTAGACTTGAACATTTCTTATCTGATATTCTTCATTTTCCATCTCACGCAATGTAACTGCGCAGTATGTAGGTAACAGATTTTTCGATGAAGACTACTAAACTACAGCGCTGCCATACTGTAACTATTTTAGTGGATGCTTTGAAAGAGCTGGCACAAGGCGGTGTGTTTGGACGTTGAAACTACCAACCTACAACAGGGCCTTATTTTTGAGGAAGAAATATCATCAGCTCACTTCCATTGCCAAAGGCATGGCGAGAGGGTGTGTTACACTCTTACTGACGAAACTCCCCCTGTTCCTTCTCCTGCTCCATGCCGAGGCCGCGGTACCTCATTGCACTTGCCCCGCGACCCCTGTTGTGTATCGGCTCTATGAGGCACTCGTGAAACAATGAAACAATGAATTTATTTTTGCAAATAGGCCATAAAACGGCACTTTTACACGTCAATTTATATGTGAAAAACTAGATGAAGCCGGCATTTCCTATCTGACTACTCTGAGAAGAAACGCCGAAACAAACTCAGAGGTCAGTCTCTTTTCAAGTCCAGACAATGTAAAAATAACATAATGTGAGAGAATCGTGCAAGTTCATTCTGTAGTGGTCTTTTGAGGAAAGAACCACACCAGTTTAAGTGGACCCGTTCTGAAGACAGGCACGCAAGTGTCAGTTTGCAACCAGTATAGCTAGTGCTGCTGAGTTGTCCGACGGACAATACCGATCTAAAGCACATTTGGGTGGGTCGCGCAAGTACTCAAACTGTCAGAACGCAGATAACTGGTAATAAAAAAGCACGGCAAGTCTCACACGGTCCATACTAACAATAATATAAAATAATTTTTTTTTTTTTTTTTTTTTGTTGTTGTTGGCAACTGAGTCTCCAATATAATGTTGTCGACTATACTGCCAGTGTCGAGTGGTGACGGCAGAGTACTGTACCGTCGACTTTTAACTTTGTGGTAGTATTTACTTGTTAGTAGCTGAAAAGGACAAAACATTTGGGTTAGTAAACATATATCATCTATAAACCTACAGTTACTATACTTACCTTACGCTTAATAGATAATTAGATATATATATATATATATATATATATATATACATAATAATTATAACACATACAATATTTACATTATTACACACCGCTACATTTTAATATTATTTTCATTCATAAATTTGGACAGACACTTAATTAATTTGGGGGAAAAATTAGTTAGAAGGGAGTGGAAGTTGATTGGGAGTGGGATTTGGATTTTGGGAAGCTTTCCATATAGGTCAAAGGACTGGGAATTAAGAGGGCATGAAAAAAATATATGGTCTAGGGTACCCTCATCAAGACCGCATTCGCACAGCGAGCTGTCACGTACGCGTATCTTGGCGAGGAATACCGGGCTAGTACAGTGGCCGAGTCTGAGTCTGCACAAAGACGAAACAGTGTGTTTGGGGAGTTTCTTGTGCTTGGAGAACCAAGGTTTCCGCTGGATATCGGTCTGGATACTAGCATAGTAAGCTCCTTTCCGCTTAGAGGAGTCCGCCCACACTGTAGCCCACGAGTCGAAGAGCTTGAGTTTAGTATCGGCACGTATGTCATACCCATACACAATATAGTGGTGACGTTCAACGTTATTCACGGCCGCAAACTTTGCCAATCTGTCAACACACTCGTTACCGCATATACCAGAGTGGCCAGGAATCCATGCGATCTCAATATTTAGTCCGTCTCTTTGGCAGGATAAAAGTAAAGATTTTATTTCCACTATCAGACTACAATGCGTCCGGGAATAAAGCTGATCTTGACCGAGCGCTTGTAGACTGCTTCGAGAATCTGAGAAGATAACTGAGTTGCTGAGGTTGTGCGATTTAATAAATTTGATGGACTCCAGAATGCCAACGCATTCCCCAGTGAACACGGAGGCTTCAGGGGGACATTTGGAGAGCAGAGCAATTCTTGAGTTCTGGTAATATGCTGCCACTCCTGTGCATCCATCTCGGGACAATTTGGATGCATCCGTGTAAAACATATTCCAGCCGTGCCAGTAATTGCTCAGCGCGCGCTCAAAATCACCCTTGGCGTCCACTGATGACTTTGAAATGCCCAAACTCAGAACCAGCTTTGGCCTAAAGTGAATAACCTCATATGCGGAAGAGAAAACCGGAAGGATAGGGTATTGACTGATGGGTGCAGAGAGGTTTTTAAGCTCCCTATACCTAACAATCACGGGTGGGACAGGTTTATTGTTCCAATATGGAGAAGAACCATAGGAACAATGGATTTGCTCAAGGATAGGAAGCAGGGGATGAGAAGAGCGGGTCAGGACTTTAGAAACGAAACGGTCTGCCAGGTATTGTCTTCGAAGGTCGAGGGGGGGCTCTGCACATTCAACCTGAAGAGCGTTTATAGGGGAAGACTTCATAGCTCCAATAATTATTCTTAGGCATTTGGCCTGGATGGAATCTAGCTTTTTAAGTGCTTGCTTATTGCAGGGCGCCATAAGAAAACAGCAATAGTCCATCACACTTCTGACCAATGCATTGTATACGAGTTTCAGCGTGTAAGGGTGAGCACCCCACCATACCCCAGCTAGTGCTCTGAGAACACACACTGAACGCTCGCATCTTCTAACTACGGCTTCTACGTGGTCTACCCCCGACATCCTAGAATCGAGGATGACGCCCAAGAACCTAGCCTTCCTCATAACTGGAATGGGCTGACCGTCTATCTCTATATGAATGTCTGGAAGGCGACGTCTGCGGGAAAAAATGACAGTTGAGCTTTTTGGGGCGCTTAAAGACAACCCATGATTGAGAAGCCATTGGTGTAATGAGGACAAAGAGACATTCATGGAGGTGGTAGCATCTGTTATAGAGCTGCTAGTGACCATTAATGCGATATCGTCAGCATACTGAAGGACTCTGCAATCATAATTTAGACAGGAAGGGAGGTCATAGGTATATATATTATACAGGATGGGACTAAGGACAGACCCCTGAGGCAAGCCCCTCCAAGATGTTCTCTGTGAAGGCTCATCCCCAGGAGTCCTCAATTGGAGGGTGCGGTTGGAAAGGATGCAGCCTATAATTTGGCAAATCCTACTCGGGATTCTCAGCTCTTGCAGCTTTTGCCTGAGAAGGGGTAGGAGGACCGAGTCATAGGCGGATGAGACGTCCAGAAAGACCGCCACCAACGACTCATCCTTGCTTAGGGCCAGTCGGATGGCTGACGTGAGGGTACCCACACTGTCAGCCGTACCCAAACCTTTCCTGAAGCCGAACTGAGTCGCCGGGAACAGCCCCCGGCCTTCCATCGACCATTCCAACCGGGTCTTTATGAGATGTTCTAAAATTTTTATAAGTATGGACGATAGGGCAATAGGTCTATAAGACGAATGGTCACCAGGATCCTTGCCAGCTTTCAACAGCGGCATAATAACCTGAACCTTCCAGATAGGAGGAATATAGCCGAAAGTAAAACAGAAGTTGACTAAGTCAAGGTAGTACTGTTTGGTTTTGGGTCCTGCTTTCACCAAGAAGGAGTAAGGGAACCCATCAATTCCTGGAGCGGAGTCTTTTACATGGTTTAGAACCATTTGGAGCTCATTCATGGAGAAATTCCTATCAAGCGGGTCACGCGATTCTTCATAATGTCCCAAACAACATTCTTCCTCACCGGGAACATACAGAGGAGCAATTTTGGTAAAGAAACTGTGACTCAGATCGTCAGGCAAGATAGGAGTTGAATTAGGCTTAATGGAATTTCTGAAGCTCTTCACCCTTCGCCAAACTGTTGCTATCGGTGTTGATGGGCTCAGGGAGCTACAGAATCTCTGCCAGCCCTGCCTCTTCTTCTTTTTAAAAAGTTTCCTTGACTTAGCCAACACCTGCTTGAAATTAAGGAGATTTTCCAGGTTCATGTCTCGGTTATATGCCTTTTCGGCCTCATTCCTGGCTCTTATCATGGCAGTGCATTCACTATCCCACCAGGGAGGGGAGGGGATTTTGCCTTTTGGTGTGTTTTTCACAGGGAAACAATCTTCAGCTGTAGAGGATATCAGTTCCGAAAACTTTGAAAAACATTCCATGGCATTCTCAATGTTAATAAGTGGGAGGGAAGAAATGCGGAGATCTAACAATTTAGAATACAGGTCCCAATCTGCTTTTTCTAAACGATATTTTAAGAGAGGGGGGAGGGATTTATCGGGGACAGATTTAGAGAGGTGTTTGATTATTATGGGATAGTGATCACTACCATAGGTCATATTCAAACAGCTCCAATTCAGCACGCTTGCCATATTGGGTGAGCAGAAGGTTAAGTCTACACAACTGCTTCTTTGCCCAAATTCAGACCTACGGGTTGGGCTGCCGTCATTAATGGCACATAGGTTAAGCTCATCTATCATTTCTACAAACTCGCTACCTATGTTGTCGCAGGTATCGGAACCCCATCTATAGTGGTGACAGTTAAAGTCGCCCATTACAAGTAATGGGCCACTCACTGACATAAGTAAATTTTTTATTATGGCCAAATGATTAGTATTAAGGTGCGCAATATAAAACATAAAAATATTTATATCCTCAGCCTTAACAGCGACAACATTTATGTCATCGCCAACGAAGGGTAGAGGGATCTGGGTGAAGGGTACTTTGTTATTAACTAACAAAGCACATCCTCCATAACCATCAGATCTGTCATGTCTGACAACACTGAAACACGGGATCCCGAAATTGATATTCGGTCGGAGCCATGTCTCAGCAAGTCCACAAATTGATGGTTTGAATTTGTTAATTAGGTGTAGCAAGTCACTCTTCCTGGGAAGAGTACTCCTCACGTTCCACTGGAGAATTGTTAGTGGATGGAATTTTATAAATATAATCTAGGATGGTGGCTAATCTATGGGCAACGTGGTCAGGTACGGTCTGGTCAGGGTTGGATAACACTGCCATGAGCATGCTGGAAATTATGTCTAAAATGTTTTTAGAGCTATGGGTTCCGGATTCCACAGGGAAAGCGCAACCATTTTGGGATGGGGAAAAGGAGTAATTATGGATAAGGGCCTGGTGGGCCTTCTTATCATAGCTGGGAGAAAGAGGAGCATGGGATTTGGGTTTGACATGGACAGTTTTTTTATAGGATAGTCTCTGCGGGGATGATTTTTTGGTTGGGGTCAATTGGATGTAGTTGGTGGATTTGGGTTTAGATACCTCGGCATATGACTTTTTGACTGAGGGAAATACCTGGCTTGCTTCCGCATAGGAGATTGCCTTTTCTGCCATTAGAGCTTTAATGCTCTTCTGGCGACCTAATTCAGGGCAAGCATTATAATTAGCGAAATGGTTGC